TTCTCTTGATCCATGACTGTCTATTTCAAACTCCCAATACTATGGAAGTTTTTTGTAGATAATGCTGATCTACACGATTCTCTTTCTTACTACAATTCCCGCGTTCTCTTAATCACCATCGTTTTCAATCGACTGTTTGCGTGTGCGCCATCTCTCGTTCAGATCTGAGTTATCGTTGCTTGAGGGACACCAACAGCTAGGTCGTTTTCATTGCTACAGCATCCTTTTGTCTTTGATTGTCAAGCAAACGTAATCCATGATTTACATATGGGCTAAATACTGCCAGGTTGCCCAGACCAAGGCAGGTGAATTTTCTTGAGGATCCACAACCGGAGCCTTCGGTTAATCAAAGCTAAACCTTCAAGGTAGTGATGTGGTGTGTGAAAACCGCAATCCATTGTGGATCGGTGTCCAGTTCATCGGAGCATACGCCCTTTGGACGGAGTCAAACGTACAAGGTACCCAATCGAGCCGGTGACCACTGCCACAACCGGAAAAGTGTGGGTATGGTTTAGAATCAGAGATTTTGGCCAACTCCTCTAGCTAAACTACCAGTAATCCACCAACCCTATGGCTATGGCTCCGGATGTCGGCATTTCGTTTTCTCATTTTGGTGTGAAAACACCTCCGCCAGCACGAGAAGGCAATGAGTAGGGCTTCGTCAGCAGAGGCTATTTTGGACGCTTGGCCCTATTGGAGCATTTGGCGAGGTGCAAGGGAAGAGTGACCAGCCGCAACTCGAGACACTCTCCCCGACCAGATATTGGCTTTTCATCCTCTCGCTTTGTTGGAATAACGCCGCCACCGAAAAAGGCAGTAAGCTGGGCTCCCTCAGCACGGACGGTTTGAAACATTCAGTCCCATAGTGTTGTATCCGTTATATGCAAATGAATAAGTTTACTGGAATAGACAGTGCGTCTATTTGTGTGTACTCTTATACATAACCGGTGTGCAGGCGAGTCAACTACTGGTGTAAGTGTTACCAGAGAGGTGAATATCATCAAGCTGGGCGGTAAACAAATCAATCAATACTGAAGTCCTATTCGCTGATGGGAATCGACCTTGTAATAAAGTTAATCTGACTGACGTGTGTGTGTGTGGTGGAAGGCCGTTTCAACCAATCCGTCAGTTATACTGCCCGCGGTAAACATTTCAGTCGACTGCAGACCATCACAAAAGCATTTCATAAACTGCTACGGAAGGATGACCAGTCACAGTTCAAGACATCCATTCCCCACGCGACTCCTGAGGCCTTCTGGATGCAATAACAATAGTATGTTTGCAATTTTTTTCCAGGTCATAAATGTGCAATCCATTGGGTACTTAAATCTTCATTACTAAGAAGACAGCAAGGTTCAACTAGCTGTCTGATGCCAGTCAAATTTCCAGTTCACTTCTGCTTTGCATTGTATACGACTAAAATCCTCGCCTAATCTATTCAAATCCTCCTCCGTTCCCTTTTCATTTATCAAGGTCAGTGTGAATAAATCAGTGAATGGTGTAGCTCACAATAATCGCGCTCATCCCCTTATCGCTCCTCTTGCCTTTGCGGCGGTCTGGCATCTTTGCTAATTACTGGTTATCGGTTGTTGCTCTGATTTTTTTTATGTTGGTTTCACGAAACCCAATCAATCTAATAGTACGGTTTTAAGGGACCGTGGTACACAGTTCTGTTTGAACTCGGAAGATATTCACCCTGCCACCAAATACCATGAATACAGTCATTAGACAGCAACTGTTTGATCACCATCACCACCCCCCCGCCTCCCACTTCCGCGTCCGAAAAAAAGAAAACGAGCTAACTGTTTGTCTGTAGATTTAGTCCTTTTAAAATTTGCAGAATTCTGACTAGGATTGTTCTAAGTTGTCGTGCCCTTCGATTCTCTTAGATAAATCAATTCTGTCGTGCACATTGCATCGTCCCAAGATAACCCCGGCTGCGTATTTGCTAATTCTGTGGGGGGGGGGAATCGAGCAAATTTACTACACATTTCACCCTAATTAGTTTCATCTCGGATCAATGCTAATCTCGCGGAGATTAATCAATAATATTGCCTCATACACCAATATTCACTCAGTCCGTCCGTCTGTTCCGTAGCCTATGCCCGGTTGAACTTTGCTCACTGTGTAATTGATTGGTACAATCTTTTTCTGGCATTGTTCGATATTATTTATTAGTCACATATAAGTATCAGAGTAAAACTTGTAAATTTACTTGTGACTTGTGTTCCACGCCACTAAAAATCCGTGCTGCTGAATACGTGCCTTCTCTCTCTCTCTCGTGTTTTGGGAGGCCTGACAGATCGATAGCCGACCGTGCGTCCTGGGTTTCACCTAGGTAGCTTCCGCTCCTAGAACTAACATTCGTTCATGGACTTGGTGCTGGTCCGTTCTCGTGTTCCCGTGTACTACTAGTGTTACTGCGCTATATCTTGTGTTCTTTGCACTTGTGGTGTTCTCCTATGATATAGTACTGTGCGACCTAATAGTAGGCAACGGATATACGTGGCGTAAGACATAACAATAGCATAAAACGTCATAGAAATGAAATAATTCTGATCTTCTTGGTTTTATTTCCTTTATTCCTTTTGAATTTCATCGGATATCGAATAAAATCCCGGGATCAGCAGCATTCAGATATCATCTGATTCTCTAGATGATACCCGATGGGATCAGCGTAAACGGACCCCAATGCGCGATAACGGAACGTAGCCCTCTTGAAGTTCACAGATGCTCTACGGGCTGAGGACAGAAAAAGTGGAAAACCGAATATATATTTATTTTTCACGGCTATATTCTCGATTTTTTCCCTCTATTTTGGTTTGAAACTGTTGTGAAGTAGATAAAAGCAGTAGTCCTGATCCCATTTTTTTATAATTTAAAGTTGTGAAAAGCTATGTATGCATGCCAACTCAGACTGGTCATCCGTCGCCACGGGCCTGTTCAATTTCACCTTGTGCATTTACAACCTAAGATCTTTCCATGGACGCAATCCTACTTCGTGCATTTCATGAACGTTCCACCATACAACGATATTGGCCTGCTTACCATTTCGTAACAGCTAAAATCAAGTGTACGTTTGTTTCCACAACCTGATTTGGTTTTCTTCCTTCTCGTCCACAATCACTCCTTCCCATTTCATCAGCATATTGACATTTTGCCTCAGAACGCTCGTGTGCTTGACGGTATGGCAGACAATTTGGATTTGGAATGTGAACGGTATGAGGAGGAAATTGAAAAAGCCGGTGGTATTGATCTATTCGTTAGTGGAATAGGACCGGATGGTCATATTGCTTTCAATGAGCCCGGTTCCAGTCTGGCCTCACGTACCCGACTCAAAACGTTGGCCAAAGAAACCATTGTGGCCAATGCGCGGTTCTTTGAAAACGATTTGTCCAAAGTTAGTCTACCCGTCTTGTTTTGTGCCCGCAAACAGGACCTGTGTTTCTGTTGAATTCATATGGTGCTTCTGTTCACTCCCATTTTTCTGCTCTTTCTCACAAATTTCTAATTTTTTTTTTAGTTCACACTTTCACATGATGAACAGTACACGGGCTAAACCTCATAGTTAATGTTCAGTGATGAAAACCGGTATCCTAAGCCCCGCGCGACTTGGAATGGTGAACCGCATAAGGCCCCGATAGGTGAAGCGTGGTATTGGACCGGACGACGTTAGGAAAGTTGAAATCAAATCGACTCACATGATTTGTGGGCTTTAAGGGTGTGGACACTTTATCCAAGGTGTGACATTAGCCAGATTATCTTATGATTTTGATTTGAACTGACTGTCCTTCCTTCACACTTCACCGTCTCGCAAAATCCTCAGTTCTTCCGGTCAATCATGAACATTTGGAAGCACTGGACTTGAGTTTCACTATTGTAAATGCTCTTCATTAGTGCATATCCACCTCATCCGGGCCTTGAACTTCGTACCCATCGCATGGTGGGTGACCATCGGCTAGAGTTAGGAGGTGATCAACTGTGTCTCCCTTCGTTGCTGTCGAAGCGAAAATGAACTGATAGACCATCGCTAAGGGATACACCTGAACACACATGAATAGGCAATCCGGCTCCGTCCTACTTTGAGTTGGTTGGCACAGAGGTANCTTGTGTGAGGGTTCCGGAGTTCAATACTCGAATGGGACGGTGGATATGCATTACTAATGAGCTCTTATAGAAGTGAAACTCGAATCTGCAGTGTTTCTGAGTGTATGGTTGACTAAAAGAACTGGGCATTTTGCGTGAAAGTGAAATCTGAAGGATGGTCAGTCAAGTACAATATCAATTATCGCGCACCACTACTCACAAGTAACTGTGGATCAACACAAAAAGACCCAAGTGGGCAGAATTGATAGTGGCCATCAATTTCGCTTTCTCTCGTTCAGGTGTAAACGCACATTTATATGATCATGCAAAAAGAAGAAACATAATAGTTGA